AATTGTCAGTTCAAATACAGTTTTTCATACCAAACTAAGTACTAATTTCTCAACAAAATTACAAAAGACTTTTACATTTTCGTAAAGGAAAAATATCAGAAAGAAACTTTAGTAATAATTGCGAATTATTATTTTTTCAAATAGAGATACAAATATTTTTAACGACATATAACTTTTATATTGCGAAAGATGAAATAATGATGAATAACGGTGCGCGCTCTTTCGAAAAAGTACTGCACGTGTATTGCACAGCAGAAAATAACGTGCGTTGTTAGCAGAAGAAAGGGAAAAGCAGTTACAAGGAATCGAACGTAACAGCAGATTTGTCCGAACAACAAGAAGATATTATAGTAAGAAGTTTCGCTCGAAATATTATATATCACAGCGCTGACACGTGGAAGCGCACAAAACTGCGGCGATTTCACCCATGTGAATAGTTTGATTAATCGTACCGGAATGAAAGATGGAGCTTACTGTCGACGAATGCAATACACGTAACACATTACGTTATGCGTTTTGACACGTAGGTAACTCTGCAATGTCAACAAGCAAGTATACAGCATTTGTTAAAAGTGCATTCCTTAATAAATCCGAGGCAAAAGTATAAAATTATTTGAATTATCAGCGATAGAGAAAATATGGAGAAAATAGCTATTTTTACGACTTCAATTTCAGAGTTGAGCAGATTCGATGAAAGAATTTTATGGTACATTAAATCAACTGAATTTATTAAATTTTTTTTTTCTATTTTCAGCGCGTTTAAGATTGCCGGTGAAAATGTTGGAGTGAATAGCTATGAGCTGTCTTGAAAACTGATTTGTGCGTAAACGTATTGTACATTGTGTGTACAAACTACGGAATTGTAAAATCTGTCTCGTTAGCAATCGATATCGGATATATGCTTCGTGCAAGCACTGCAAGGACAGAGTATTGCGGCATTCAAGATATATGAAATTCGCCACATCAAAGGAGGCTATCTACAGCCATGCAATTAAGATAAAGGACAAGGGGTTTCTGTATATTACTACAGGATGAACGGTCCGAGCTTGGTCATCTAGAAATGTTAAATGATGCAAAACAAAAGGCGCTATTGAAAGTACATCTAATGTGCAATTGAAGTTAATGATCATTAAAATAAATAAACTTCCTACGCGTTACGGAAATGTCAGAAGAAATGTCAGCAAGAGAAACGCAAGGATAATTACAATTGCCGGGGAAAAGATTACAAGCATTATGTGTTCTCGCTATTTTTTTTTCTTTTCGCTTATTTTTCAATAATTACTTTTGGTGAACGTTTTTCCGCGATATTCAAAGATAAAAATACGTGCGCTTAATTTATGTGGGAGTAAATATAAATATTGTGGCACAGAATTGCAACGGACGCATATACACTTATTTGTATATATATTTATAAATGCCGAATAATTTAATCATTAACTACGCGAACGATCGAAGTTGCACTAAATTCTGACGTCACACCAGGCCGGATGAACTCGAACGAGAGCAGCGGAAATTGCCGCGTGCGGGATTCGCGTCCGTACCGCTTAACAGTGATTATATTAATCCAATTTCACAGTTTGAACTCTCTTCAAATTGGTACCTCACTTCCGTATTACGAAAATTAAATCAACTAAGACTAAGAATTGGTTATAAAGAAAATAGGACGTTGCTCGAATAATTATTTCGTTTCTTTCAATGCATAAACATATCCTAAAATATTTTAAAACAAGAGTTTAAGAGAGTATTCTAACATAAAGTTACCTAGAACAAAAAAAATGAATAAAATTTTTTTTTTTTTTTAATACGACAAAAGGATAATTTTTCGTATAAGAATTGTTCCGAAATGTAAATACTTAACACTGACGTTTCTCGGCTGGACTCTGTATTTTTGCAAAACAAATTACGGGGCCTGAAACAAGCCTCGTATAAGGAATTTATCCTTCGCAATAATTCCAAATTAGGTTCCGCAGTTTAAGAAAACATCTATTGACGTTAAAACACCCTTGCGCGTGGATCGATAACCGTCAGTCAAAGTATAATCGACGCGCTCTCATTTTCCAAGCGTATAATTTCATCGTTACCTCGAATCATATGCGGCGTATGTGGCGTCATTCATCTTTTACGACGTTTAAATTGTAGGCAAGTTGAAGTCCGTACTGCGCGATAGTGCTAAACTCCACGAATCGCCAGTACGAGAGCGCGGTTTCTCGTAAAAAAAAAAGAGAGAGAAAGAGAGAGAGAAAGAGTGTGAAAAATACGGCTCGGTTAACGCATAAACTCGCGGCGTAGGTACTGCGGCATGTCGTATCAAGAACGCAGATGCCAACTCAAATGCTCGACGTCCGGGAGTGATATTTTACACGCAATATCTCTATTTCGCGACGCGATCGACCGCGATGAATTTTTCAGGGAAACATTTCGACGTCCCCGGCGCTATCGGGAAAACGGGCTGCGTTTCGCGTTATGAGACCGTATTTTGAGAGCAATGCGAATTATCATCGTGATCATTCCGCTAATGCGATGCGTAACCGCCGAGATTACAGCTTTCGAGTATATAAAATAATTTTGACTTAATCCAGGAACTATTTACATATGAAAATAAGTTTTAATACGCTCCGCGTGATACTATTATATTAGGATGACAACAAGTTAATTAAAATTGTTCGGTGAGCGAAATTTGAAAATTTTGTTTGGCAGATGTTATGTATTTCGTTATTATTCGTGGCGTACAAGCGTGCAAAAACTAACTTTCATTACTTTCGTTCATTTATAATTTAAAAACTATTGACATTTTTACTAAAGAAAAAAATTTACTCGATAACTTGTGAAATTAAATTTGTATCTTTAAAATTTAATTTACTTAAAAATTGATTTGTAAACATAATGGTTGTTTTTATGTTTTTCAATATTTATTGAATATTCAACACTACTTCAACGTTTCCCTTTCATTTAAGCAAGAAATTTGATTTGTTTACTCTATTTAATTGGAATGTTTGGACATTCGTTCACGATTAAAGCGCAATGATAAAATTCCCAAAAGATTCGTCAGTGATTGTAATAGAGTCAGAGTATTATTTCAGATCAAAGAAACGTGATCGCCGCAGCAAGTGTCACGTGTATTACATGCCACGTGTGGCATTGCTGCTATCGTACGAATTACGTGTACTAGCGTGGCATAATACCTCGCGAGTGCGAGCGGCAAGTGATAGCTGTGATTTAATTAAAACTGCTACATTGCAGCACACATAGAGTTGTGCGAGCGTTCGCGAAATTGTTTCGTGTCAGATACGGGGCTAAAAAAGCGATACACCTCATCCCGTTATAACGCACGTGCAATAGTCGCTTGAGAAATATTAGTTCTTCCGCGATTTTTTGTATTCGCAAGTGTTTGCTTGCGATTGTCAATCGGGAAATTTTTCGGATATTTTCTTACTAAATTAAAACACAATAAAACGCCGGATTGATTGAAACCTCTAAACTTTTCAAGCAAAAACCGTATTGGATAAAATACTATAAAAATATGATTTATGATTATTTATTTTCCGCATTTTTCTCATTTTTCAGATTTTCTTATTTTCTTTCATTATCATAATTTTATAAGTTTTTTTGCGCATAAATTTTAATTTTTTATCTTTGCTGAATAGTTTGGAGTTTAAAACATTTTAGGAATATTAATTGATTATTATTAACTTTAGTATGTGTATATTAAAATAATATAGCATCATAATGTTTTCTTGCTGAACGAGTATGTTCTCTTCCGTCAATCTTATTATCCAAACTATTTGTGTCACAAATCAGATGTATGCATTATCAGATTAAGTATGTAATACTAATCTGTTTAATTAGTGTAACTTATTTTATATTCAGCTCATTAAATATGCATTATCTATGAATTATTCATGCATAAATACAAGAACAAAGAGGTAAATGAGTGTGTTTCTAGAATACACAGAAATATTTGGAAGAAATCGACGAAATTGCATCGAAAGAAAAAAAAATGCTGAAGCCACGCAAACAAAATCAAACTAATTTCAAGAATTTCGAGGATACACGATCCTCGAGGCTCGTAATATCGAATTCGAGAAAGGCATTTGTATGGATTTATAATTTTGTTTTAGTTGTTTCTAATTCCCCTATCTTTTCACTTTATCGCTGCATTTTTAATTTAAAGATAAAATTCTACAACAAGAAAAGAAAGTGAGAAACTTTTTTACATTAATTCGTCTAATTAAGTTTGTTAATTGTTGAATTAACATTTGTTTAATTTGTCTAATTGTTGTCACTGTTCTTCATTTATCCAATTTTTTTCAATATTTTGCACATTACAAATTTCTAAATATCAAGATATTTAAAAAAATTTTACGATTCTGCTATGTCTGAAATCTGCTGTAATTACTATTTTCGCTTGAAATTTATTCCAATTAGTAAAGGATTGTAAAGGCCTTCTAATACTATGACTGGTGTTTCCTGCAAGTTTCGTGGTCAAACTGTTCAATTGCATTTGACAGTTACAACATAGACAAAGCTGGGAACACAGTCTGTTTGGCGAGTCGATCGACAGTCACAGGTAGTTTCTCGTCGCCGAGCAGAAAGACGAAACGAGAAAATTAAACGCGTACATTTGCGAATCTCAGATTCTCATTAACTGCTTTCCACCTTGTTTTACAACTCCATTCCTCTATCCGTATTCACTCTGACGCACATCAAGTGAGATAGCATAAAATCTACTTAAGCTTATTCATACTATGTACAAATAATATCAATAAAAATGAATCATTAATTTGTATAAATAAGTGAAAACATAAATGACTGAATATGAGTAAAATACGAAAAAATATAATTAAATAAATAAATTTCTCTCCTGTCGTATTTTCTTTACTTTTTATAAATTATTTTCGAATTATTTGCGAATGATACTGTAAGCGATTTGAATAATGAAGATTTTTAATTCACAGATTCAACGCCATAATAATTATCCTAATGGTCGGTTATTGTTTCAGACAGTATCGGTGAGTGTCAGCGTTTTGACGTTGACTTTCATATCGATTGACCGATGGTATGCTATATGCTTTCCGTTGAGGTTCAAATCTACGACGGGACGAGCGAAGACCGCTATAATACTAATTTGGATGATAGCGCTGCTTTTTGGTAATCATTTATGCACAAGTACTTTTATTAAAACTACGTATTATTTCAATTGCTTGTTGAGCATAACTGACGCTGAATTGTGAATTATTACTTGTGACATGCAGCAAGTGATGTTATTTTTAATTAATTGGAATATCATTTGTAATTATAACTTGTATTATAACTTTTAATTAAATTAAATACGATACATATTAACATCCACATATGCAGTTTCTCCAGAATATACAGAATTTATGAGAAGTGAACATCTTCCATTGCTTATTTACGCTTTAAAAAATTTAACGAATTTATTATTCAAACAGTTTTTGTTACAAAAAAAGTAACACCAAATTTTTATAGGACATGCTGTGTTCACTCTATGTGGATTCTGGGCAACTTTGCACATGCTGCATATTGCCCGACGGCAGAAGCTGTATTTTGTTTCCGATTTTTTAAATATTTAAACTCCGTTCTTTAAATGCCATAAATTTAAGTTGGGGAAGTTAATTGTGCGTATAAAATCAGTATTTATCCGCATTAATTTTTTCTAGCAAGAACGAATGAGGGAAATTTTCTTTTATCGGCAAGTGGGATGAAAAGGCTATTAATATTTTGTATCTTTCGCAGACATTCCAGAACTGCTAGTGTTGCATACAGTTCCGTCGAACAGTCGAGTGCAGACTATATTATTCACGCAATGTATCTGGTCATGGAGTCAAGAGAGTCAAACCACCTTCACGATTGTCAAGCTGATTTTTCTGTACACCGTACCGTTGCTCTTTATGAGCGTAGCGTACTGGCAGATCGTGTGTGTTCTTTGGAGGAGTAATATTCCAGGACATAATTGTGAGCAAGATTTTGCATTAACACAATTATTCTCATTAATAATTATCTGAAATGATATTCCAGATAATATAATGCATTTCTCTAAGTTTATTGCAAATTGTTTCTTTCCAAAATTTTAATTTTGCTGATAGAATCGCGATCTATTTACTATGCTCATATGAAATTATTTTCCTTAAATCATTTGAAGCTGTTGGCAAACATTTCAAAATATATTTGAGAAATTCTAGTGGAAATATAAATTTCTATGAACGAGATGAATCAATATTCAAACGTTTCTGTTGTTTTTAACTTCAAACAAATGTTTACGTTTAAAGTAATAGAAAAGTAATATGATACAAAATATATATATA